TAGGCGGAGCCGTCCTGCTGTGCCGCGGGGCGGCCCCGGCGCCTTGGTGAGGGGGCAGCGGGAACGCCTCAGGCCCTGACGGAGCCTCTCTGTTCAGGACGTTAATTGCTTGTGGAAGTAAAAGAGGAGTTAACAGCAGCACATAAACACCCTGCCTTACTTCGTGCCGCTGACAGAATTCCTGCCAGCCTGAGGGGAAGCCGAAGTACCACGTAAGGAGTTTAAACTGTCCTTTCACACCCTTTTTCTTAACGTTTTCTTAATAGCACAACTGGCGCGTGCTTAGCCGCTGTGTCACGTTGGCTCTGCGGTCACTCTGGCCTCTCGCAGCCGTTCCGGCGTTACGTGTCGTTCTCATGCGCAGGTGAGAATAGCGCGGGGGGTCACGTTTATTTTAGTTGCCAGGCAAAACAGAACCAAAAAGTGTGGAGAAAAATGGGGGGGAGGGGGAGTCGTATTTACAGATACGATCCTGAACAGACAGTAATGACTGGAATACATGTTATTATTGCTTTAAAAAAATTGGTCATATGCTGTAACACTAAAACAGTATGCCAAATGTGGCTATTACAAAACTAATGCAATATATGAGTGGTATTTACTTTATTATGGTCAAGTAAAAATATCCAGAACAATAACACAAAATGCTGTTAAAAGTGATTCCTGTTAAATTGACTGCTGTACTGTATACAGTACAGTATACAGTACAGTACAGTGTATACAGTACAGCAGTGAATCAGGTCCTTTATCATTTACTTCTTTTATTATGGGTATTTATATTTGCCCCATAAATTTATCAAATGACATAAACTCTTAAGTATTGTTTGTTCTCTGTTAAACGGGTTTTGTACCTGTGACTCGTCCCTGACCTGAGAGTAGGGATGAATATCTGACGGCCTGCACTAGAGTAAGAATCATTTTACTATTTCTGTTTATTTTTTTCAGTGCTTTGCTGGATTGCTTGGAGCTTCCTGTCAGAGATTTGAAAATATCGTAATGAATTAAATTTTTTCTGTTTTGCGTTGAAACGCAGAAGGCTTTGTAACGTGCCTCCATCTTGTGCAGAAAAATGAATGGCTTGTTGTTTTCTGGCCAGGGGCTGCTGGCCTGAACTAACAACTACTTTTCTGTCTCCCCAAATAAATGGGTTACTGACTTCTTTTGCCCTAATGTTGCTTGTAGGCCACCCTTAGAAGCACCAAATGGCAGCTCACACTTCTCCTTGAGTTTGTAGCTGTTTGGACCTCCTACTTTGCTTACGATCTGCTTTGCTTTAGAACCATTTTATAAGACCTGGTTTGTTTTATAACCATTTTATGCTTATAAGTACATATATTCTCAATGGTGAGCCAGTGGTAGTTCAAAGCAGCGCCTCCAGGCGGTAAGTTGGGTAGTGCTGCCAATTTATGATGGTTCTGGGTTGTTTCCATCTTTTATGCTTTCATGTTACTACTGTCTTGATGCCTGATGTTTCTTTCAATTTGGACAGGCATGCCTTAAAAGCTGGGCTATTGCTTGTACGTATCGTTGGTCATCAGTCTCTGTTGAAAAGATGAGGCAAACTGTCAGAAGCTAAATGAATCATTTAATGCTGTGGACTAGAAACCATTCTTGATAGTGTAAACAGTGAGCACTTTTGTCAGCGAAAATCGTGTAGAATCAGCAGTGACAGAAGTAATTGTGGATAATGACCTGTGGATAAAGAATAGTTCTTTAAAAGCTGTGTTCAGAGCAGAACAAACCATCTCTGTTTACCTAAAGGTTTTTTCTGAGTCATGTTTAAACTACTGATCCAGATACTGATCCCCATAAAACATATACTTTTAAAATATTGGAGGAGGCCCGTATTGAATTTGCTCTCTTTTAAACTGTTTCTCATTCATGATTTTCTGGGAGTTTGATCTGATCCAAGTCCTGTGGTATGGCACTAACTAGAGTTGTGGTGTGTCAATTTCTGTAAACTCTTACGCAACACAAAAAGGGTAAATTTATTATTTTTGTCACTTGTCATTTGTCTATTGACTAGCATTATGTCACGGGTAACTTGTGACACTCTTCTTGCCTGTTGGTGTTCCTGAAATTATAATACATCTAGATCTGCCATTCAAATGGGGTAGAACAAATCAGGCTTTAAGATAATAGAAAATATAACTTTTAATTTTAACCTAAGCTTTTTTTTTTCTTCATTTCATTTCATTTTAAAATTTAGAGTGGCAATTAAAGTTTAATAAGATAATTGAAAGCATAGCATTCTTGCAGGGTGTTCCATAGAAAGCATTCTTGGTTTATTAAGATCATACCATAAATATCCTGTTAATGGAAGTCTCCATTCTTGGTTGCTGCATGTACTGATGCTTGCTTTCGTTTTTTTTGTTTAGTTTTGTTTATTTTCTTCTTTTCCGAATAGCTCTATCATAGAGACAAAATTTAAGTCTCCTTGCACAGATATCCATAGAATATCTCTGTCTTCTCTTTTTCTTCCAACAGTTTATGTGCTTGCACCCTAAACTGGTCTGTCCAACCTTGTTTCATTTGAACTTGTATACTTACTCCACGCTAGGGCTTGTCATGGTTCCTACATTTTTATTGATTAGTTTAGCTGCTTTTGCTCTCTTACAGATTTTTCCTAGGGTGGCATTGGTTTGATGTGGGTTTAATCTCTCTCTCTCTCAGAGTAGAAATAAGATATAAAATGGCAGCAGAGTTGATCAAAACCATGAAACGGCTTCTGTATGAGTTGTGATTAAATTATGTTCAAGGACTAGAAGCTAGAACATATAGATGTGCTTATTTATTTTAATCCAGCGTGTAATTAAACTATGGAGTTTGTGAATTTTTGCCCTCTACAAATTCATATGAGACAAGATCACAAGTTGGATAAATTATGATTGATTGTTATGGATAGCTTTTTCTTTCATGAGAAAAAAATACAGCACATAATTAGTGCTCAGAGAATTAAACTTTTCTGTGGAAACAGGAAGAGCAAAGTATCATGCTATATCATGCCACTTCACTGTTAGCCGTTGTCAAAGGTGAGGTGCTGGTTTAGCCGGATCTGTAGTCTGTTCCAGGAGGGTTATTTTTATGTTGTTTCTCCTTGATTAACGGGAATCAGTCGCAGAATATCTTGCAAGCTGCTGGCAATCATAGATTGCTCAGCTCTGTAACAAACATACTTGTTGGTTCCCTCTGCTTCAAGAAACCAAGGACTCTTATACTGCTTTACAATATCCCACAAACATTTCTTTTAGTCAGCTCAGCAGTAGCAGTATTTCACACATTCTTGGCAGGAATATTTGACTTTCGCAGCTGCTTACCCAGAGACAGGAAAGATACCCGAAACCTTTGGGGGGAAAAAAAAAAAAAAGTCAAACCCTTTAAAAGCTGTAACAGAACACAACACATACACCCCTTACCATTGATATAGAGTGCTAGTCATCTTGGTCTCAGTGGGGAGGACGGATGAGCTCCAAGGGATCTTGGTTCTGTGAGTCTGATGTCCCGATGAAGTGCCCTAGTACAAACAGAGCTGCTATAGGTTAAGGGGCCCTCCACCAGCCCCCCCTTCCCCCCCCCCCCCAAGACTGGAAAAAGAAGGCTTGCTGGAAAGCCCCCAAGGACGTTGCTTGGGAAAGAAGGCTGCAAGGACTGCACTGAGCCATCAGTCCTCTCTTGTAGTCCATGCCTAGCAAAGCAGTAAGGTTTATGAAGTCATAAAAGACATAATTTTAATTATGAATCCAGAGCTTGAGGGGCCAAATACTCAAGTCCCAAGGATGGGGATGGGACTGATGTAACTGCTTACAAAGCCACAGGAGGGAAATACACTGCTTGGATTCTTGTTTCCACACACAGGTGGGCTTGTCTGGAAAACCAGCAGAAGCATGTCCGTGCTGGTGAGCTGCCTCGACATGCTACTTCAGTTTCTTTTTTAATTGCAATTTGTTCTCATGCGTTTTTTGCAAACTGATTGCTAATCCTTTCTTGTGCCTTCCCCCCCCCCCCCCCGCAAGCCTCCCCTGCTGCATGTAAGCAGGTTTCTTGTCCTCTGTTTAGTCTGATTTTTAGTTAGGATAATGTGCTGCAGTGGCAGCCAGCATTGCAGCTCAGCGTGCTGCAAATAGATTTGAGTTTTAGTGCCTTCATCAAAAAAAATCTTTTCTATGCTACTTATGTGCTATGTTCCCTGCTGTTTGCTTCAGCACACCCTGTTCCTTCTCTGCCTCCCTTCCCACAGGTGGTTCTTGAAATTACACCATCATGGACCCTTATATTGGAAGCTTTTCTCATAAGATCTGGCACCTGTGACAGTCAAACATATACTCCATTTTACTAGTAATCTATTAGCGTGCCTTAAACTATACACAGAGTGGCAACTGAGGCTGTGTAGTGTCATAGGAAAAAAACTTGTTTATACCTTATAGGTAACTTATCTGTGCTGTTGAACAGAAGCCAGGCCCTACACTAGATTCTAGTGATACAGTGCTGTCAAGGCCTGTTTTGACAGCCATGATCCTGTGTTTCATGGGAGGGTACTTCCCTGCTCGCTCAGTCCCTATTTTTGTCTTTCTGTGGATAAATGCTTGTGTCCGTTATAACCATGTCAATGAGACTAATTAAAGAATTTAATTAATAGAAGAAGGTTGCTTTCCACACCTTTTACGTGCTCCAGGAGACCTAGCAGCAGCTGCTGGTTATACTCCTGGTAATTTCTCAGCTGTAATAAACACTGGCCTCCTTATCTGTCACTCCCTTTGCCTAGCATGTATCCTCTTAACCCTTATCTTCAGTACTTGCTGCATCTTTCCTTTCAGCAGAGGAAAGTGAAATCCTGTAAGGATTAACATCTTAAAAAGAGAGATTTAGGAAAAAAAAATACCCACTAATCCTTGTTTGCTGCATCTTTTCCCTTTCTTTTTTCTTTTTTTTTTCTTTTTGAGTTGAATCTGTATTCTATGTCTTCGTAAGTAACAGTCAGTATCGTGCTTCCACTGATAGGTACAGAAAGGTGGGTAAAGTCCTTGACTGATTTTTGGGAAACACTCTTGTGCCTCACCCACTTACCAACACCACCCATATGGCAAGGTAGCTTACAGAAGACTGCGCGCACTGAAGTTGCAGTGTGGTAGCCCGTCTCAAGTGCCTTTACACCTGGGCAGCACAAAAGCGAAGTGAGAACAGAGGGCAGCTCTCCCATGAGGAACTCAAGCATAGAACTGTGCTGTTGGAAGGGCTGCCTGGCCACCAGGCTGCTGTCAATGCTGGAAAGCACAGCAGGCAGGAGCCAGCCTGCACATGGGAGAGATTGTGCAGTATCAGCTGCAGCTCTTGTGGCCACCTCCTTGCATAGGTGAGGTCAGAGTTACAGCCATATTTAGATTGAGACTTTTTTTTTTTTTTTTTTAAAGCTAACATTTTAATAGTTTCTCTTCCTTAAAGCTTGCAGCTTGCTCTTCTAATAAACTAGTGAGCTGAGCTGAGAGTAAGTCATGAAATTAAGAAGAAATCACCATTACCAAAAACAGTTTTAATTAAAAAAATTTTTATTTCACACTTCTATACAAATATCCACAGGTAATTTCTAATATTGGAATGATGTTGCATTGCTAGCTAGTATAAAAACTGTTTGAGACAAAAGTATACCAGTGACATGACTTATTTTCAAAAACTTTCAGTTCAACATTCATGTTCTTACAGCAGTGCCACAATTGAGGGGGGCAGGATGGGGAAAGACATTGCTTTTAAATCAAAGCCTGCAGTAGTTTGTCAAGCTTCTTAGCACCATATTAGCCTGGCTTCTTACACAGATGAGCCTTTCAGCAAGTAAGCTAGAATTTTTAAAAGGTCAGAAACTGGATAACAGCTATAAATGTGTGTAAGGGTTCATAAAATCAGGGTCACAACATACTGAGATTATTTAGCAGGAGGAAGAGGAGTCTATTAAATGAACGTACTTTCTATAATAACGTTTAAGGTGGACCACAACTTCTAAAAAGGTATGTTTATAGAGTTAGTAATACAAATGAGACGCCTGACAACTGCCCTTTTAGCAGGTTTTTCCCCTAGGAGGGGAAAAAGTATAAAGAGGTTTTTGCATAGTACAGATTACTAGCAATTAACATGCATCTTTGAGTAGAATTTTGTTTTACATGAAATAAACAATTGTGAGCTAAATTTTAATTCTTAAATAGTACCAACACTTTAGAACATGGGTAAAAAAAGGTAAACTCTTTAAATAGTTAGGCATTTAAATCACTTATGTTACAATAACTAGATTACTGAAAAGCACAACGTTGTGGCTCTACTCTTATCAACATTCAGGTATTCAAGACAATTCAGTAGTCTCAAAGTGGATCGGCTCAGATCCCCATAATTAAGGTAAGTTAGGCCTTTATAGCCTCCTTCAAGTGCTATCTAACAGATGCAGTAGTCAACACTTTTCTCTAAACAGGAAATTCTCATGAAGCTGGAAAGTTGTTTCCAGAGAACCTGTCACTTCTCTTGCAACAAGTATAAAACTGTATTTAAAACCATACTTCTGCTTGCTGTCCAAATCGTTACATATTCTGAAGTAATATACAAATCACATTACAAGACCTGGTGATTCCTATTACATAAAATATGTATCAGGAAAAAAGCCCCCACATATATCACTGGAATAAATACTTACATTTTTAGAAAGCATTGGCACCTGTAGTGATTTATTAAAATGCTGTGAAAGCTTCAGGTCTTGTAATCCGAAGTTCATAAACACAGTGGGTTTGAAGGTTCAGTTAAGTCTTTGGCCTAATGGTTAGTCAAAGACAATGATTTATAACAAAAATAAATACAAAAATGACTAAAATATATATATACAAAAAGTACATCTAATATTTAAGCCTCTCTTTAAAAAAAACCTGTGTATATTTGGTGTGAGCAAGATTCACACAATCTGATCTTAGAAACTGAGCAACATCACCTATTGCACATGTAATTTAAGATGATGCTTGTTGTTAAGCCCTAACTACTGTAGCAGGCAAAGCTTATGACTAAAGTAGATTTGCAGGTCTTCAGATTTCACCTGAACAAAGTGTGTCAAGGCCACTGTGTGCACTGAAGGAAGGATGGAGAACCTATTGTGACCTTAACTACGCATTCCTTACACACCAGGAATGTAAAGATCATAGGAAAAAGTCTGCCATGGCAGATGTACACATTGCAGAAAAGACCCAAATCAATACAGCATCGTCTAAAGTGTGAGTTAGATTTGAAGGGAAAAAGAGGCAGTCTGGAAATTAAATAATGCAAATAAAGTCTGTTGAAGCAATTTTAGCTGTGCAAACAAAAGCCTCAATGTAAGTAGTAGTATCTACAATCAAACAGTGAATGTCCATAGTGTACACAGGTCCAACTCCACCAGTATTCCATTAAGGAAAACATGAACCTTTAGCTGAACTTTGCCATTTCGTGATCCACTGTTTTGTCTCAAGATCTTTGCATTTCCCATCTTTGATCTGTCGCTCTTCTTTTCGAATTCTTACAGCATGATATCGGGGGACACTGTCATCGTACCTAGAACGCTGGAAGAACCCACACTGGGGCAGAGTAGAAAAAGAACAGTTTAGGTTTAAGTTGCTGCCAAAGTATTACTTACAGAGGCAGTACATTTTTCCTTTGCACAGATATACAGGTAAGAGAATTGAAAAGAAAACAATCTTGGCCAAAAACGTAACGTGCTTAGCTATGAAATATGTGACAGTGTCTAAAACAGCAAGCAGCTGCAGACAAATAGCATAGTCCAACACTTCAGTAGTCTGAGATCTTAAACAAATTCCTTCCAGTAACTTTCTAAATTTGTTTTACAAGTCTTTGTAAGTCGTCTTAAAAAGATATTTGTTCATCTATAGTGAGATAATTTAATGCTGCACAGAGAAGATGCACGCTTTCCTGAAGTGTTCTCTCCTGAATTAAAGGTAGGTGTGTACTTCAGTATCCTCCTGTAGGGTGACATGATTTCTCTTTTAAAACCTATGGAAAGATTGCCTTCAAGAAAAGTTACGTGAGGGCCATGCTTTCCAAAGCACCGTTGCAACTATAGTCATCTCTGCTTAACTATGCATGAGCCGTTTTAGAACATAAGTCTTGCTTAGTTTGCTGTGCAATGAAAAACAGGCATAACTGTGAAGTTTTGTAATGTACCATGATGACACAAGTCTCCCTAGATGAAGTCTAGTTCAGCTTATTTGTGCCCTGCAGTTTTTTTTTTTAATTATTCAAAGCCAACCTAAAAACTGATTTTACTTATTTAAGAATGGACTGAAATTATTTTTCAAAATAAAATGGAGTTCTGATGCAACCAGTCATCATCTTTGCAGCATTGTGGCCAAAGCAGACACTCAACTTTGCATGATTACGGTCTCTGAAGTCAAGATTAAGTGCAGGACAGACACCTGTCCTTAGATATTGCTAGCATACAAAATTAAAACTGTCAAGGTTTTGTTCATATATTTAGAATGGTGATTTTCAGTGGGGAGAGGGGTTGTTTTTACACAAATCTATTAACACTTGCATAGAACTGAATTTAAAAAAAAAGAAAAGTAGAGGCAAAGACCAAGTCTTTAGCTATCTCCACCATTTCATTATGCACTATATTGACAGATTTTTGTTCTGAATTTCACCCCACCCCCTCATCCCAAGCATCACTAATTAGTATACATGCACTTATTGTCTTTAATTTTGTGTAAAGATTGCTAGAAGCATAAATCATCATGCATCTAGTAGCTTCAGCAGAAAAAGGTATGTGTCCAGAAAAGTATACCTTAGAACTGAAGGAAAAAAGATGTTTCCACAGCCATTAATTAAAAACAGTTTTCATAATGAAAATTTATGAGTAACGTGTACTTTTTAGCGTGCACTAAAGGTTAATAAAGCAAGTTTATCCATCTTCCGTGTAGTCTTAACTTTATCTTAACTCTACGCAGGGTTGATCAGTTTAACAAGTAACTTGTACTGTTAAAACATCAATGTGGAGGAAAAAAGAAAAGTAAAAACCATTGCAATAGATCAAGATGTTTTTTTAAAGAAATAAGCGAAAAGCTTTTTAGACCAAGGTAAACATCTGTGTGTGTTCACGTGCACCAAAAGCTGAAAATCTGTCAACAGAATGAGTAAGCAAGTGCTGATAGTTTGAAATCCAGCAGTTAATATATGCAGCAAAAGCTCATAGTTAGCCACCGCAACCACAGCATGTGCCACAGCTAAAAATTAAAAAATATTGACCGATTACCAATTACAGAAGTAGATCAATACTACGCATCAGAAGTAAGCCTCTCTTTATCAGATGGCTGAGCATGGATCTCAGCCTTGTGATATGTGGCATCATAATGATCTTTCTTATTTCTCTTGAAGAAACCACACTACAAGGAAGCAAGGTATTTAGTCAATTTTTGTGGACTGGAAAAAGTCAAACCTGTTAAAACTAACTTTATGGTGTTTTTTATGTGATGACAAACTAACTTCAAAAGATAATCATCCATAGATAGTTCAGAACACAAAAAACAGCTTTACATCTAACTGCAGAAGCCACAGAAGCCCCAAGTAGCTGTATCTCTATCAAAGTAACTACAGTTTCTGAAAACTTGTCTCTAAGTTTTGCCTAGAACTCAAAACCTTTCCTGTTGAAGATGTGGAAACAGAGAAATTTCATGATACAAAGGGTAACAGGTGTTTCCATGTGACCATTTTCATCCCAAATGTTGCAAAATTGAAAAAGATAAGATACAGTTTGCACAATTTTGCTTCTTGTTTCAGGTCTCAAGTGCAAATGCTTGATCGTTTGGTTAATTAGTTTATCTTGTCATTTGTAGACCAAGACATGTGAAATGACCAGATGAATAAAAGCTTACCTTCCACAATAAGAATACCAACAGTGCAAGCATTAGTATTCCAGCAAGAATTGCTACTAAGATGATCCACCAAGGCACCCCTGTATAAAGTGCTACCGTTTTTGCAGGAAAGACAGTAACACGCACCTAAAGAAAAGAAAACATGTGAAGATGATGCAAAGAGCATTTCAAAAGCATCTATGTCTGTCTGATCCAAAACTGCAACTTACATGGTCACATCTCTTTTCTGACAAGATGTCTTCTCTCTCTCATCTACAAAAATGCTTTTGAAAAAAAAAAAAAAAAGGTTTCCTACTGATCTCAAATGCTATTCTTATATCTGGCTTTCTAGGCATAGGGGACCTGCTCCAGGAAAGACTAATCATTTCAGTAGGACAGTTAATTCTTCCAACCTGATTAAACGTGTAAAGGATCAATAATTAAAATTCAGTTAAAAATTTAACCTATAGCTCCTTTTGATTTCAAGTGTTTTATTTTCTCCAGTCTTTTCAGGTAAGTCGGAAACATAATCACCATAATCACACATGGTTCGTGTTAAATGTTGAGCCTACCTGAGCAACTTCATTTGTGAGTTTAACATTCTTAGCTGCAGCAGGAACGCTGATTGAAGCCCTAACAAGAATGTCTAGATAGTTCATTTTGGAGTATTCCTGTTTCAAAATAAAGTATGGGCATTAGACACAGAACAGGAAAGAACTACGATCTCTCAAAAATGGTAGGTAAGCAAGCTTACTTCTAAGAAAGTACTGTTCCACAGTCTGGAACGCAGCACAACAGATGCCTTGCTGTCCAAACCATTCAGGGGGCATCTTATGTCCACGCAGCGTGCATTCGTATTGCAGTCCTGCAATTACAGATTTCTACATGTAAATAAAATCACATCCTTACAACTTGACTACAAAAACCCTAGGATTTAAGGTTGCTTAAGGCATTGGATGACATGCATCTTTATGTACAAGAAGCAAATTTGCTTGGACTGAAAGCAATGGGAAAATATGATGATGATACTTTGGTTTAATGTAGGTAACTATACAGAAATTCTTTTCTATTCTTCTCTCATCAGAAGATAATATAAATGAACCAAGTCCTAAAAACACCAATATTTGAAAATTAAGATGGAAACAAAGCAAAGAAAGATATCTTCTTTCACCCTCCAAAGCTCAGAAAACTCCTATTAGGAGTGAAGGGAGAAATACTTGAAAGAACTGTAGTTGGTGTGATATGCTTACCAAAGTCTTGTATTTTCTTTCTGAGAATAAAGAAAATGTTTTGCTGTCTATAATCTGCTTCTCTGCAACCTCACGTTTCTTCCTTGAGTTATGGGATTCCTTTAAAACAAACAAAAAAAAAGTAAAAACTTTTTTTAGTGGTATAGCACAAGTATTTCTTAATTCTGGTCCCCCCCCCTCCCCCACCACAATTTTTTAGAAACGAAAGAAGAGTTCAGTTAGTCTGCTTTCTTGCTCCAAAATTGGCACACGAGTGACATCACTGTATATCCCTACTTATCTACCTTTATTGCTAGTAGCAGAGTCAGGACAATCACTAGAATTTGAGATTAACTAAAGAACAGATCCTCTGACTATTCTCTTGTCTTTTTAACAGGTGGAGGGATTTTTAGTTCTATACAGCTTTTAATGCTATTTCCATTTTTGTTCTAAATGCAGATTACTAACGCTCCTATGCTAAAGGAGAAAAAGTGGCAGAGGTGGCAAGGTCAGTAGATGCATATTTTGAACTGTATACTAATTACACTCACTGAAAGTTTTATTAACTAATGCAGTGTTCAACAAACTGACAGGAGTGGGTTTATGTGCATGCAATTTTCATTGTTTATTAAAATTACAAGTTTTCCCAGATCACGTTGACATTTTATGTAAACACTTTGGAATAAAACTTGTTAATTCCTTTTCCACAAGAAATGCTTTTAGTTACGTCAATTATGTGTATTATGTCTGTTGAAAGTAACTGGATTGCAAGTATGAAAACGAGGGCTCAGGGTTTAGAAAAAAATTTTGCCAAGTAGACACAATGAAGAGCTATGAAAGTCTCGTTTAAGAAACTTTTTTATCGTATTTGTTGTAAATGAATACATTTAAGTACAAGCCCTATTTCCATCAAAAAAGTCTGCGGAATTCCCCTAGAACTGGGAAGCGTTTACTGTTGCTTCCCCTTTTTTATGTAAGAACAAACAGATTTCAATAACATTGCTGGAATGCATTAAAGCAAGCAGCAATCTCATCCTGTGCAGCATGTGACAACAGCGTTCACCTGCCCATCGCAGGTAAAATCAACATGAGATAGATACTATCCTATAGCTTACATTGTTAGCCATTATGCAGTCTCCTAGTAAGCTTAAACCTTGACACATTGTTTATGTGTTGTGCCTGTGAGCTGCTTAAGACAAAAAATTCATTCTGGAGAGAAGCACTTAAGCCCTAGTATTGCATGCTGTGATGCTTTAATGTTGTACCAATTCATCAACAGGAGAAGACCGGGTAACATACCGTAACACGCAAATAATTAATTTCATTCTGGGGTTGACAGGAGACTTTTTCCAAGCCTTTGGAATCTATTTTCATCAAATAAAGCAGCCATTTGCCATTACTAATTTCTTTTGGCCACTGGATGTCCAGAGAAGCTGTGCCAAATGTTTTAAGTGGCCTGCCCAAGTTAGTTACCTGTTGAAACAAACATTCTTTAAACTGTGAAATCTGATTTAAAGGGATTTTCTTTAAAAAAAAAAAAAAAAAAAAAAGGTTCTTGACTTCAGCAAGTTTTAAGCATTTGGCTAACAGGAAATTTAAAAGCTGCTGAAAGACTGTCTAGATACAGCATGAAGACAAACCATACGCTAAAACTAGCACAGCTGGATAGCAATTAAGATACAGCACTTAAACATGTAAAGATTAACATTCCATAACAAGTATGATAAGCCATTGATTTTTAGAATCCTATCTTCATAGGAAACAACAAGAGCAACTCTTCCGAGTTAACAAATCATTCCATTGATTCCATTGCGTAACTGATGAGAATTTCAACCTTAATAGAAACTCTGACATAGAAAGTATACTTTCTCAAGTACTCCAGTAGTTTGGGAATTGTTTCCCAACCTGGTTTTGCTTTCTTAGCATTACTGTTTATGAGAGCAAGTTCTAAAACAGATATTCTAACTGTTTCCACATTACTACACTCGGTAAATAAGGAGGTACAGAAGGAAGTAAGGGATTTGAGAGAGACAGATTTTAACAGAATAATCCTGACAAACTACTAAGCACAAATACAGTGGTGCTTGTATTAATGATGTGGGAAAATAAGTCTTTTACTGCTAAACATAGTTTTCACAGAACCAGAATCACTTCCCTTAGCCTTCTCCACAGTCCTTGATTTATTAATTAGGCTAAAGGCCAAATGGCTGAACTGGACCCACACGTTCCCAACGGCTCCTGTGTAGTATCCTCTCGTGCATGGTAAATCCTGCACGCGTAAGCATCCATACTCGCCATCTGTGTGCATGAGCTAGTATCTGGGCATGCCACACTTAGAATTTTGGGTTTAAGTTCTGCCCTCTACCGGCATGGAGTTTTATATGCTGTACTGTGCATGAACTGTTCTAAAAAGAGCGTGCACAGCCAGCCACAGGCCACTTCTCAGAATACGATCAAAAAATTTCAAGGCCTGAGGAAGCTCTAGTCTGCAAGCAGAGTGCATGTTCTGAACAGAAAAACAGGATTCTGGGACAAGAAAAGCTGACTGTAAATCCAACAACTTTTCCAAGTATCCATATACATAAAAGAGAGAAATCATTCATTTGATTAAAAGCAGCTCTTGGCATTCATCTAAATTACTCACTCTGAATTCATACTCTATGAGGCTTCCAATATTATCTTCAGATTTTATAGCACTCTCACCGACGATGTTACCTCCAAAGTATACCTGAGAAGGCTTAGCAACTCTGTTCAGTTGCAGGGTGGGGGAGAAGGAGAATAATCAGATTTTAATAAAGGCTGCAGTAAAGGTGCCCCCCCCCCCCCCCCCCCCCCCCCCCCAACACACTTATTTGGTATGCTATCAGCACTTACCCAGTGAGTGATAAAAGCAGTTCAATAACCACTTTAGCACTAGCAATGATTGGAGTCGAATTAACTTGAGTGCTTGTTCTACAACGAAAAGGAAACAATGCTGTTTATTTTACAAAATCAGCAGTTTTCCCATGACTGTTAAATGGCCTTTATGAACCAAACAAATTAATTCAAGATATTTAGAAGTATTTATGAAAACTCTGCAGGCATGCACACGTACACCCATGCACGTACACCCCCCCCACCCCACCCCCCAAAAAAATTCTTACGTTTCCAACTTCAGATTAATGTCCAAGTCTGTTGTATCAACGTTAACTTTAGTGGTACTCAAGATCAGATAAAAGGTGACCTAAACAAAAAGGAACATCCATGCAGTATGTAAATATTGTATAGAACATAGTACTCCACACAATATTATAGAAATGTACCACCATGTTCAAAAGTTAACAAAGACAGATCCAAATCAAATTTCCAGATAGGACACACAGGAACTTTGGAAGACTGCAGCTGGGAATCAGATTTTGTAACTTGAGTAAAATAGGCACAACTTACATTGGAATTTCTCTTGAAAGGATTTCCAAGTTCACACTCTGCTTGAGAACCATTTTGGTTAGCGCCACAGGTTAGCTGTTTTTCCTGAATTAATGGAATATATTTAAAAGTGAAAACATGCTAGAAATATTTTAAAATTTGAATATCTTTTCTCTTAAAAAAAAGAAAAAATACTTACAGGATAACCCCTCATCTCCCTGAAAGCAGAGTAAGTCAGACTATCTGGAAAAGTTGCAATTAGTTTAGCTTCGTATGCATCTTCACCATCTTTTTGTGGATTTTTTGCATCAGATGGATTATTTGTCACTGTTATTTCCAGAGCAATATCTTTCTGATCTTTCAGAACAAGCACTGGCATGTCATTTTCACTGCAGAAAGAGAATATACATGGTTTTGTGCATTAGGAATACAAATGCATAAGAAAGTTTGCTCTCCTGAAAGCCCTCTTCAGCACTTAATAACTTGAATTTTAGCAAGGCATCAAATCAAAACTTACATTGGTAAATAGGTAAACCTGTCTTCATTTCCTTCTCTAGTACAAAATCGGTACTGCAGTTTTAGATTGCTGTGACATTCATTGTCTTCTCCACATCCTTCTTTTAAGAACTCCACCTAAATAAAACCAAAGCACTTTTATTACATACCATATGATACTAACGTAAAAGAAGATTGCTGGTGTGCACTGCATAAAGCAGCCACAGGGAGCTCAGAGAGACTTTTTTGGTAAAACAATATCTTAACCTGACTCTGCTTCTTGCCTTAGGGAAGTCAAGAGAGTTTTTCTTTGTGAGGCATAGACCTTGTCGCTGGTAAATGAAAACCATGACTGGGACTAAAAGGCAAAGTTAGATAAAACTTGGTGGTTTGCCCTTCTGAAATGAGAGGTACACCTCAAATGAGGCAAAACATCCTTAAGTCTTATTCTTCAGTGTGGATTGAAGAAATGGGATCTTTTACCCACAGTGCTCGCTCTTTTACATCACCGATGCAGAGCTCTCACTCTGTTAGAGCATCCCAATCACATGAAAGTTAGACTGAGCAATAGTCTGGAATGTGGGACAAGCGATCACAGCAGGAGATGATGGATTCTCATTTAAATCCAAAGCATGTTTCCTCCTAAATTTACTGGGGTCTGGGGGAGAACCCTAACAGTTCTCTCTGGGGAGAACCATCCTCACTTTTGTTACAAGAGAAATACAGGACCAAGTTCCTAACGTTTTGTAAAGCAAAATATAAACCAGTAGTCATAAGTCCAATGCCACCCCAGTTATTTCCTTTGGTCATAATTTACTTGTCTATGCCCTCTAAAATTTAGTAACTTTGTAAAGTGCTTATTTCTCGGAAAACATGCTCTAAGAAAAGCTTACTTTTGTGGTCTCTGTTTCAGATTCATCTGAGTTTAGAATTGGTAAAAGATCCGGAAGCGCTCTTTCTTTTTTTATGGATGGTGAGCTAGACTCCAAGCCAGCAATTTTCACACTAACCGATACAGGAATGGGGCGCAGCTTGTCTTTAATTTTTTCCTGTTAAAATATTTTAAATAGCACAATTAGTGTAGAGTGCAGAGAAGAAGAAGAAAAACGAACAAAGACTAGCTTTTGATACACACTTTGTAAAAAGCAGTGATCTCTTGATACATTTTGCAATGTTAAAACTATTCACTACAGAGAAATCCAGCATTTTCTAAAAACATGCAAGAACACAAGGATCTCAGAACTACTTTTTTTTTTTTTTTTTCTCCTGGCTTCCTGGTTTAATTTCTCTCACAGGTAAGAACTACTAAGAACAACAGATGGTAACTCAAGCAGGTGAAACTTGCACTACAACAGTAAAATGACACACTTTCTCACTATTCCTCAGGGTCAAGCTTTTTAATTTCCTGCAGCCATGCGGAACATTGGAGGGTAATTACCCCTGAGCCGTTGATAGAGAATTTGATCGGCTTTTGGAGCAACGTCACCTTTAAGGGACCGTATAGCAACCAAGACAGAAAGCACGTACAAAGCTTTCTTTTCCTGCCCATTCATCCCCTCCAAAACCTGTGGGTTAAAACTCTTTCC